TGCCAAAAAAAAAAAAGTGTGTAGCATGGAACACTCTAGGGATTTGTTCGTTACTTAAAAGGAATGAGATTGTATATATATGTTGTTAGTGTTAATGAGAAGCGGAGCAAAAAGAGGCCAAGAAAAAGGGAGGAATGAAGTAGCCGGAAAGCCATGAGAGAGCATTGGGATGGCAGAGGAAAAGGGGGAGACATTAGAAAAAGGGAAGCATGTGGGTGTGGGCAAGTTTCCTTTCCAAAGCCTAACTTAGATTTTACGTTTCTGAAGCAGCAGTAGTGGTGGTGACTCAGAGTTAATTGATGCTCAAAAACAACCCAAAGGGAGAAAAACATTTGCAAGACAAAGGGTCCCAAATGCCACGAGATCCCCTCATGTGCTCCTTAATTATTTCTGTTCGGTGGCCTGTCGCACTCATATGCACACTTCTACTTTCTATATATTTTGTACTATATATTCTGCATAAACTACCGCTAAATTAATGTAGCTAGGCATATCTTACTCTTATTATGTTTGTTATCTTGTACTATATAATGAGTACGAAATAGGGCAGGAAGAAAAATTAATATCTAACATTAGACACTATAGATAGAATGAATAGACTCACTGCATTTCTTTTTGAATTTTAGATTATATAACAAAAAGCAATTCTTTCATATCTTGTAGTTTAATAATAATAATAAATTAAAAATAGCTCTGATTTTAGGTCCATTCAGGAAGTTGATTTTCTAGTTTTGGGCCTATCAACAACGGGGCTAATCTGAATAGCCCAACATCCCCTAAACTGGGCCTCAAAACTTGCAAGAGAAGCCCAAAAGAGCGCCGCAGAGGCGCCACGTTACGCCACGTGGAACTTCACTACCCGTTTGTGGTGCACAAGCTTCCACATGTCTTGTGGTTGATGTCAATCCGAGCCCCACACATATCCGAACAGAAATCCAGAGGTGCGACGCCAGGCGTCCATTCCCGGCGGCCTTCAACTTCCTCTCTGTGTTCCTCAACTGCGAGACCTCACAGAGGAAGAAAATGTCAATAGCGCCATCAGCTTCTCGTCTTCACTCACCGTTTCTTTCTTCTCCACTCAAGCTCTCCTCTCATCCTGCTCCGACTCCGTCGTACAAATATTCGAGAAATCAACGGTCGCCGGCGTCTTATCCGCGAATTAGAGCCGCTGATCTCGACCAAAACACGGTATTGGTTTATCTATCTTCAGTTTCATTCTCATCTTAATTGTGATTCTGGAGTAGTAATTTGGAGTAACGCTGTTACTGTTTCCAGATAATAGCAGTATCAGTAGGACTGGTGAGCGTTGCGGTTGGGATAGGCATTCCAGTCTTCTACGAGACTCAAATCGATAATGCTGTAAGATTTTTCAAGATTTTTGAGCTAATTAGATGAAGAATACCATTGAGCGATAGAAATGACTGTCGATTTTTTTATCGCAGGCAAAACGAGAGAACACACAACCTTGCTTTCCTTGCAATGGTACTGGTGCACGTAAGTAATTCTTTCTCTGGTTTAACATCTTTCCGCTTATTGTTTTTGGAAATTTAATGAGAAATGAAAACGATTCATAGTGAAGTTCAGTTTCTCTCTAGTTGTTTGATTTAGAGAGGAATTAGGATTAACAAAGGAAAGAAATGAGACAATTTTGCAGCAATAGATCTTTTTTATTTATTGTTATTCATGTTTGGTTCATAATGTCACCCCAGGAATTCTCTTTAATCGAATGCTTCCTG